TCTAAAATTTAATTTACCAGACACTCCTTATCCACCCCTATAAAACTATTGTAATTCCAATGACAGGTGATTATTCAGGGGACTAAATACAAACTCACACCACAGTTTTCAAATTGTATAATTATTCTTTCATTTCATATTTAGGCACTATTTAGCATTTTTTATCACATAAAATTAAAACAAAATATATTAAAGTTTCCCATTGTAATATAGCAAAATATAAAATAGTTCAAATGTTTTTTCAAAGGTTTTGATTGACTTAAAAAATTTTTATTAAAACTTATGTATTTGCTTTTCATACCAGACTAAAGACGTCACCACAGCCATGGCTGAAGGACGGTATGACGATGCGGTGATGCTCAGGGGAAAGTAAGGCATGCACCTATATCAATTTTAATTTCTACCCACTGTGTTTTCAAATGAATGTTCACTTTTGCTTTTCTCACAACAGGAGCTTTGAGAACAACTGGAACACGTATAAAATGCTTGCCCATGTGAACCCTCCAGAAACAAAGGTTTGAAACTACTCCTTTAGATTTAGTGGACATTTTCCAAAAGTCTTCTGGTGAGGGTTATATAAATATATACACATGTATATAAATATATACACACATATAATTTCAGAGCAATATCAACATTGCGATACTGAACGTCGGCGCTCCATGTGCAGGAATGAATGCTGCAGTACGTGCAGCAGTCAGGGTCGGGCTCCTTCAGGGCCACCAGATGCTGGCGGTGCATGAAGGCTTCGATGGCTTGGCACATGGGATGGTAATGTATTAGATCAGCTGTAAATGAGACATGTTGAGCATTGTCCTTATGAATAACAATGGATTATTCGGACATAATCTTGTTTTATCATCACAATATAAAACCTGAACATATAATGAGACAAATTGGTCTGATTTCATGTACAGATTGAGCCAATTGGTTGGTCTGGAGTGGCAGGATGGACTGGAAAGGGCGGTTCCATGCTTGGGACCAAGAGGTGAGCCAGTTCAAAAAGGTCTGGGCTTCAATAGATTCTTTAATACTTTATTGAATACTGGTTGCCTTAAAGAAAATCTAAATCTGTACTGACATGATGTGATGTTCATTATTTTTGTTATGAAGGACACTGCCTAAGCAGCTTCTGGAGGAGATCAGTCTGAACATCACAAAGTTCAACATCCATGGTATTGTCGTTATCGGAGGCTTTGAGGTGAGACACTTTTGACTCTGCTTCAGTTTTAAAATGCTACAAAGTCCATTTGACTTCAGCAACAAAATCAGTCAAAGGTGTAAAAGGTTAATGCAGTAAGCATGGGCAAGTTTGAAACTGTTCTTAATTTTTTCTTACCTTTGAAGGTAAGAAAAAATTACCTTTTTAAAGGGTCAAAATTCTGCATACAGTTCAATATAAATTTGTGTCTTTCCAAGTAACCACTGGTTTAATGTCCCTTAGGGAACTGCATGGTTCTTGTAGTTATAAAGTTATGGCTTAATTCTGGCTGGTATCGTTCAAATAGCTTTGTTTCTTGATTTAGCCCAGCTTTTTTAAGGATAGTATACAGTGAGCTCCACCATTTGTGATGAGAAAAGATATAAAATATCCAGCTGAAATTGCTGTTAACTAAATGTGTGTTGTTACTCTACAAAATTGCTGTGGGATATTTAACCAAACATTAGTGAGGATGTATTTAAGTATGCCATATTTGGGTTGCAAGAGTTCACATGTTTTAAACTCACTAGAGACGTATACCCATTCTGTAATGAGAAAGGAATGTTTAAATGTGTCAGTAAAAGCCCCAATAAAATGTAATTCTTGCCAATGAGGAGTTTTTATAAACTTGAATCCTGCAATTCTTGAAAAAAAAAAAAAAAAGCATGTCCTTTTGAGTTATGGCTTTCCTCCTCACAGGCATTCCTGGGAGGTCTCGAGATGATGGAAGCTAGAGAGAAGTACGAGGAATTGTGTATTCCCCTCGTCGTTGTTCCTGCTACCGTCTCCAATAATATCCCTGGATCTGACTTCAGCATAGGCGCAGACACAGCCCTCAACACCATAACCATGGTAAACATCTGTCTGTGTAGAAACAATGAAGTGATCAGGTTTTTTTCACTCATTGTTGTTTCCTGACTCTTGCTCACGTTCTGCAGACATGTGACCGGATCAAACAGTCTGCTGCCGGCACCAAGAGGAGAGTGTTCATTATTGAGACCATGGGGGGATACTGTGGCTACCTGGCAACCATGGCTGGGTTGGCATCTGGAGCAGATGCGGCCTACATTTATGAGGAACCGTTCAACATCCATGACCTCGAGGTCTGTCTGTATGTCTTCTCAGGACCAAAAGATAAAAAGAAACAAAATCATAACATTCGTCAGTGAGAGATGGCCAGATAGTTTTGTCAGTCTGATCGATGATTTGTTTGTAGCTGAACGTTGATCATCTGGTGGAAAAGATGAAGACAACAGTGAAGAGGGGGCTAATTCTGAGGTTTGTGGGAAATAAAACCACAATTTTTTTCATCCTGCTCACATTCACTGCTATTAGATGGTGTTTATGTCTCGTCTGAAACTTTGACATTTGCTTCAGAAATGAGAAGTGCAACGCAAACTACACGACTGATTTCATCTTCAACCTGTATTCAGAGGAGGGGAAGGGCGTGTTTGACTGCAGAAAAAATGTTCTTGGTCATATGCAGCAGGTTTGTTACTCTGTGATTCTCTGTTTGTTGGTCCACTTCTCATAGTTTGGTGCAGCCACTGTGAAAGATACAATGTTTTTTTCTTCCCAGGGTGGAACACCCAGTCCTTTTGATAGGAACTTTGGCACAAAGATGGGAATCAAGTCTGTGCTTTGGTTGACTGACAAGCTGAAGGAATGCTACAGACATGGTGCGTGTTTGAAAGCTTCTTGTTTATAGTTTGAACAAAGTATGCTCTTTTTGACTCTAAAATGTCTGTTTCTAAATTAAACCTGCAGGTCGCATCTTTGCCAACTCAAAGGACTCAGCCTGTGTGCTGGGAATGAGGAAAAGAGCGTTGGTGTTCCAGCCTTTGGCAGACCTAAGAACTGAGACTGACATTGAGTAATACCCTATTAACTTTACTTAGAGTACCCTGTATTAAAATCCCTTGGACTTATTACATTTTTGATTTTGCAAGCATAAATTACAATATATTTTACTCCAATTTTCCCTAAGAGACAATCACAAAGTAGGATGTCATTGTAAAGTGGAAGAAATGTATGTCTTCTCAAATCTTTTTACAAAGTAAAGCTTGAAAATTGTGTCATAAACATTTGTTCAACAACTTTACTTCAGTTACCTTATTAAACAACCTTTTGGTTCAGTTACAACAATCATTTTGAATTATGAAAACTGAACTTTCTTCACTTTGTTCATTGCAAATTTGCTTAATTGTAGTCAAATTTAATGGAGAATTTCAAAGTCTTTGTATTGATTCTCAGTTGGATGTTGGTTTTGATTTTGACAGGGCCATGTAAACATTCCTTAACATATCTCAGTGATGCGTGTTGGCCCTTCATTTAAATCCGCCCCAATTTTTTTTTTGTCTTTAGACTTTTTCACTGATAAGCATTGTCCTTTGCAGACACCGTATTCCAAAGACTCAGTGGTGGCTGAAGCTGAGGCCCATCTTGAAGATCTTGGCCAAGTACAAGATCAACTTGGACACCTCAGAGAGGACTGCAATGGAACATGTCATCAAGAAGAGAGGCTTAGTTCCTCAGTAGCTTTTCTTCTCAAGAAAAATCAGTTCATTGTCTTCTTTTTAAAGTACTTTGTAAACTCTGACTTGAGGATTGTGCAATAATAAAGACATTAACATAAAAATATTGTTTAACAACAAGTACTTACAAATCACACTGTCAGTGTTTAAATAAATTGAGTGAAATTCATTTGCTAAATTGTACAAACAGCTGAATTTTAGGAAATTTAAATTTTGATTGATTTCTTGTTTCATGCTAAGTTAGTTAGAAATTATAAATGCCTAAATTACAATGTCCCTTAATAGATTTTCTGAAGTTTGGCTTTGGTGATAAAAAATGTGTCTCCCGTTTAAGTTTTTTGTTAAAAATTAAAAATTAACCAAGTTGACTCTCTAGTTTCCTTTTTTTCTTCATTTTTTAGAATACCAACATTTAACCATGCATTGTGTGAGTGAGAAACTTTAGCTTTTAAATGCCCTGCAGTTTCTGATCTTCACTTGAGAATAAAACATATAAGAGAATATCTCTAAAGACCAAATTTCATTTGGTCTTTAGAAAAAGACCAAATGAAATTTCATTTGGTCTTTAGATATAGAAAAATTGTTCTATTTCAAGATTTTTGCATAGCATTTGGTGTTGCAGCATGAATTAAATCATGAGGGTAAAAGAAGAAAATGAAAACATTAAAAATGTACAGTTTTTTAATATTTAAATTTGAAGAAAATATATTTTGCACACTTAATATCCATGCTTAATTATGTTTGTTTAAAGCTAAGTTAAACATGATAAATTGAAAAAAAAGTATCATATTTTCTCTGTAATAATGGACGCCTCTTAAACCTGTCTCAATTGTCCAGTGAATTAGTTTACCAAATGTTTAAACCCTGTTGCACGCTATAAAAACCTGACGAGTAAATGTAATGAAGTCATGCTATTTATTTAAATATCTGAAAGTAATAGCCGAAACTAATATATAGTAATAAAAAACTAATATATAGTAATAAAAAACTAATATAAATATAAAAAACTAATATATATATATATATATATATATATATATATATATATATATATATATATATATATATATAATATATATATATATATATATATATATATATATATATATATAATATATATATATATAATATATATATATGGGATTTCGTGGTCTATTCTTAAACAGGCTTGTGCATGTTTCTTTAAAAATAAAACACCCATAATTCCAAGCGTTTCCTTGACAGTTTGTGATTGGTTCGCTGAGATCATTCAAAAACAGTGTGCCGCGGGTGCCGTTGGGAAATGGAGCACAAACCTAACTGAAAGTTTCTTTATAAAGTCCTTTTCAAACTTTAATTATGAGGAACAACTGTCTAATTTTTCGGCCGTGAGGACAATATTTCCGCCAATAGTGAATACATCAAGTGAGTTCATGCTGCTTTCAGACTTTAGCTAAACACCAGCGTTATATTGAACCGCAGGGACATAAAGAGTAGCTCGTCACTTTATTAGACACGGTTTGGGCAGGAGGTGTCGTTTAATGATTTGTCTTTTATAGGAGTCGACATGAAGTGCTTGAAAGTGGAAGACTACATCAAGAGGACTGTCTCTGTTGAAGAGACGCGGCTTTTGTCTCAGGAATTTGAGGTTGGCATAACAACCAAATGCTTAGATTTACCTCGCAGATTTACGTGAATCAGTTCTACTGTAAATTACATCAGCTAATCAGTTATCCTACAAAAATACATCCAATCTGTGTTAAGTTGACTGATATTTTCTTACACTAAAACATTTCTTTTTCGTCTTCTTCTTTAGAAATATGCGAGTAGTAATCCTGGACTTAATGTTCGCGTACTATGTGACAGGATTATCAGAGCTTGCAACCATCAGCTCGGACTTACATCCTGTCACTCTGACCACGCCAAGGAGTTGGTGAATTTGGTGGAGCTGATTCTTCATGCCTATGATACTTCTGTAAACATTGTGCCGCGGCACAGTCCGTTATACATGGAGATGATCCTTTTCCATGTTGTCAAGAACCTGTGCTCCTTAGGGGAATACACTCTTTGCGGTCAACTGGCTGGAATCCTTTGCTGCAGGATTTCAAAAGTGCAAGAGGTGTGTATCGTCAAGATTGGCAGTCATCTTTGACTTAAATGTTGTTTATTTGGGGTTTTCAATCATGAATTTTACACAGGAACATCAGTTTTGCAGCCCCCAACATGTTTATGGCATAATTCTGGCTTTATTTTTGAAAATGCTGCTTATAATTGATAGTAATTATTTAAATAGTTAGATTCCCTGGTACTAATCTAGTTTGTAGGCCCTGAGATTATGCCTCTTCCAGAAATGTGTAGTTAAGATGTGTTTTGTTTAACAAGTTTTGTTGATTTGAGATTGCATTCAATAATTTAAAGGTTGCCCTTCTCTTTGATGATTTATCTTTTTGTTCAACACACCTTTACCACAGACAGTGAAGATGACCCTCTGCATTATGCTACCACCACTATGCTTGACAGTTGTATAATGTTAAGTTTTGAAAGCCTTGGCTCCTCCAAACATATTCTCAATGATTAGTTATGTCGGATAATCACAAATAAAGGTGGGTTGTTAGTAATTATGTGCAACCCATTTCTTCTGTCATAATCATATTGAAAATTTGTGGATCGTTCTTAAAAGCTTGGCCTTTGCCAGCAAATATTCCAGTGAAATCTACAATATCTTAAAAGAAAAATAATAAAATATCTAGCCACAATTATGCCAGGAACTTGTTTATGTCTACAGAGAACATGTGGTTGAGGTGCAACATGCTGAGAGAAGATAGTGAGAACATGTATTTATTTTTCAACCTGGAAGGTTGAAAAATAAATACAAATTTAAACTTTTGAATTTTTGTCAATCATTGAAATATTGGTACTCCAATTGGAATATCAGAAAAGATCAACAGTTCAGTCATCATTAAAAGCCCGAAATAATATATTCTTGCTGATAGAGATTCTACATCGTTGACTGGAAATTGTTCTATTTTAAAATCCATCCTTGCTGACATTGTCAGCTCTAATGTGTTTTGTGTCGTTTGTAGACTGGAGAGGATTGCAATGTTCTCCTGCGGAGCTGTTTCACGGTGTTTTGGAACGGCCTCTCTGCTGCTAAAGAAAAGAGTGCACTGAATCCTCGAGATAAACTGCGCTGGCAGATTTTAACTTATAGCTTCTTATTGTTGCTGGAGTCAAAAACAGAAACTCCTGCTTCCTTGAAGACCTCCGAATACATGCAAGATGCCATCGCTGCATTCGTGAGTAGCTTTGAAGTCCTGACCATGGAGGATGCTTCATATCTTCTGGAGGAAATAAAAACAATGGTTAAGAGAACTAATGGTGGGAGTGAAACCAGTGAGGAAGGGGAGAAAATTCACCATTTACCAATATTACGTTATTATATGCTATCTGAAATTATATTGCTGTCAGTGAAGGCAATCTGTAAGGTCGGCTACCACAGTCTAGCCCGATGCTTCTTGACTGACATGGAGAGCATGACTGTGAACCGTGTTGGCTTTCCAATGACACCGCTGGTTCTCTGCAAATGGGCAATAATAATTCACTCAGCAAAGAAGGCTGATGAAGAATGTCACGAGGCTTTGAAACACTGTGCTAGAATTTTAAGATCTGTTTCAACTGAGCTGGACTTCAGAGAAGGTCACACAGTTCTTGAAGTTTGCAACCTGTTGGTATGGGCTGTTGAAAATGGACACAGCAAAGTGCTGACTGGAACAGAGCTACTGGCTCTGTTTTCGTTTCTGGAGGAGTACCAAGAGCGGACACTGAGAATGCTTGATAAGGTTAGTGTTGCCTCCTGATGGGTCATTGTTTATCAATTCTGGTCCTCCGGGACCACTGCTCTGCATATTTTAGATGTCTGTTCCATAACATCTGTTCAAATGATTTAATGATTTCCTCTGCACCATCAAGTGCTGCAGCATCCTGTTGGAAGGAAAAACGTGCAGGGCAGTGGTCCCTGGAAACTGGGATTGAGATACACTGTATTAGGTTTAAAAATCTGTGTTCAAATAAACTGTAGAAGAAATGGAAAACTGTCATTTTCTTGCTTTTCTAGGTTTCAGAATTTAAAGTGGTGGGGGAAAACATGCGAAAGTCACTTTGTTTGAACATTTACCACGGCTTTGCATTGGCATATGAGAGCATGAAGACATCAGAGGTAAACTTTGCATTTAAAACTGTTTGAAAAACAAAAAAATGTATCTCAACACAAATGACATTAGTATTTTGCGATCTCTCAGGTTTTTGAAAATTGACCAGCAATTTAAAAATCTTGCTGTGTAGGCTTTTCATAAAGTTCAAAAAGCTTGCACCAAATTTTTTATTGTTTTTGAGAAAATTAATAAAAACTCTGTAAGAATCGACTTTGGATGCACACAGTTTGGTTTTGGGTTTTTAATACGTTTGATTTGTTTTACTTAGCTGGAGGACATTGACACCCTGGACAGGATTGTGCTCTATTGCAAAGCAACAACTGGGCTGCTGATGTCTGAACTTCACAAGTTGTCAAATGAAAGCCTTTTGAGCAAATCAGGTGACCAGTTTATTTCTTTTCAATATGGATTGTCAAGTGTTGCATCATTTTATAAGCCATTTGAATGAAATTTGATTATCATAGCTGTTGTGCATAATCTGCTTTATAGTGGTTGCTGTGAGCAATTTGACTTGTTGCATGTTCAATCGGCGCCTGTATGAGCAGGCTTTCTCGCTGGTGGAAATCGTCTGCAAGGATCTGATCAGGAAATGGCCCAACACACTTTCAGCTGACAGAGTAAGTTTGTCAAATGCGATCCTCTCTACCAGATCCCATATTACATATACTGTGTATTTAGTTGAATTTTTTTTTTCTGTTGTGGCAAACCAGTTAAATCGACCCTTCATGCTGGCCGTGCAAACTTCACGGCGGGCTGGAAAACTGCAGCGAGCGCTTGACTGGATAATTGTGTGGCTGACGGCCCTGGGGGACCAAATTACAACTCTCATGGCTGAGCCCATATCTCTTTGGGTCAAAATAAAGGGCGACGGCGCCTCTAACAACGACGAGGATATAAGACTTGTGTACAGAAAAATATAATTTATTTATATTTATATCTTTTTTTTTTTTTGTTTTGAATGCAATTAATTCACAAAATGACTTTGCATTTGTTTGTGTTCAAATCAGGACTTTACGTGATGGTTTTGGTGCTGTCGTCCTTGAGGAGAAAGTCATGCTGTGCCTTTTGGATGAAGAGCTGCGTGCCTATAAGGAGTCGACCAGAGACACGGCTCAAGAACGTTACAACACACTCTGTGATCTACTGGACATCTGCCAGGAGGAGAGTGCTTACCGACATCTACGTGCCGTTTACCTCTGTGAAATGGCCCAAGTGGTGTGCTTCCAGGATTTCAGTGAGCAAACTGACTGGTAATAATTTTTATTATGGAAAATATAATGAACCGTCATCCACAAGTGTCTTTGTCTCTTATCTTTAACAAGTTGATACCACAGAACTATCTTGATTAGTTTATGTTTGTTTTTTCTGCCAACACAGCATGGCCGTTGATTTCACCAACGAAGCTTTACGGCTTCTTGACGAAGAACCAGAGACTTCAGAAAATGCTGACAGACTGAAAGATGACAAAGCACAAGCCTTACTCTGGCTTTATATTTGCACTCTGGAGAAGAACCTGCAAGAGGTGATTGATCTTTGTTTTGTTTTTGTTTTTTTGTTTTTTTTTTTTTTTTTTTTTTTTTTTTTTTTTTGTATTACGATAACAGCAGGGATGGATGGCGGTCAATTAGTTTCAACACCATTACAGTTTTTCACAACTAGAAATGTTGGCAGCGTTGTGTCTGTGCTCTGTCAAACTGATGTTTGTCTTTTTTCTAGTAGTTTAGATTTCAGCTTTAGGTTAACACTCTAAATCGTAAATTATTTTCTTTTTTTCACCAGGCCATTGAAAATGATAAAAAACGTAAAGAGCTCCGTGAAAACACAGAGGATGCAACCAATCCTGTAGGCAACAATGACTTTGATTATGAAGACAAGCAGAAGACACAGGACAGAACTCTGGCGTATGAAGGGCTTCATCTGAACCTGTCTGCAGAAAAAAGTAAGGCGGCTGATTTTCATTTGATCATCTTTCTCATCTTAGAATTTTAATTGACTTTGGTTGCAGTTCTGGAGTCGTTGCTGTAGGCTTATTGGATTTTTTTTTTTTTTTGCCATAAAACAATATGAATAAATTTTTTTTTCTCCCTCTTTCAAGAGCTGTGTCAGCCACTAGAAAAAGCTCTGGCGTTCTGGAGTGACCTTTTTAAAAATCGAGCCATGCCTGCTGTCAGAAACGCTAAGCAGACCTGCAGCTCCATTTCTTCTGCTGCTGCTCTCTTCAGACTCATTGGAAAGGTAATGGCAACAAATGTATCATAACTAATGCATATCCTTTGCTTGTTTTTTGTCTAGCTATAAAATTAAATGCATATTTATATAGAGGAAATGCCTGGTTAAATTGATTTACATGTTCAAATATGAAAATGGACTAAAAATATTCACTGTGAAAAGCTCAAACATGCAGTGTTTCTTTCATCGTCCTGTTTTTTATGGGTTGAAAAATACAATGTTAATCTTGACTGAATTTAATTAGTTGGAGGTGTTTATTATTTTAACAATAATAGAAAGAGAAACTACATTTGATCTTGAAACGTTTTATGGTATCGATAGTTTTATTGCATTAAAAGGTAAAAAAAAAATGATTTATTTATTTTTTTGTCTGATTCAGCCCCTGAAGGCTCTGGAGGCGTACCGCCTTGTGATCAAATTTTCCCGTGAACTTCCTGATATTGGTTATTGTGCTGCAGCTCTCTGTCAAACAGCCAGCATCCTACTGGACTTGGGCTCTGCTGACCTAGCTCTGGTGATTTTTTTATTTTTATTTTTTTGTTTGTTTGTTTTTGGTATATTAAACAATAATCAGGAAATGGAACAGGTAGTTTTGTTTTGTCTTAAATCTGCCATATAACTATTGTAATCCACTTATAATTTATTTCAAGGCTGCGATAGAGGAAGCAGAGAAAATGCTTTCTTCAAACTCCAAAGATGATGGTCCACCATATATCTCTGTTCTGGTTGTCTTGTTAAAGGCTCAGTACTTCTACAGCATAGGACAGGTATGCAATCTTTGCACATCCAGCATGGCTGATTAGTCAGGTTATTGTACTGATTCTGTTTTGGGGTTTTTTGCCTATATTTTAGATTAGCATTGGACTCCCTTATCTGTGTCAAGTGCTGGAAGAAGTAAATGATGAAAAACAGTCAAAGAACTGGTACCTGCTGCGAGCGCGGACTCTGCAGATCTGCGGTTCCTATTTGAATCTGGACGTCAGTCAGCTGCCTCAAGCCCAAAGAAGCCTCATCTCTCAGTTCGGTGAGTGGAGGTCATACATGCAATACTTTTGGATCTAAATGTCTGTAAACGTATTCTAAACATTTTAACCTTTTTTGTTCTAATTCTATAATATATATATTTATATGTAGCAACTTGAATACTCTTTATTAGACCCCACAAAATATCCCCTAACATTTATGGATGTAACCTGACCTATAAAAACGTTAAATGGGTGTAAAGACTTCGGCAAGGGGCTGTATTAAGATGTTTTTTTTTTTTTTCTTAAAGCCAAGTAATGATATGTTGTGTATATCTCAGGTATAACTTCTCCTGATACTGCCATATATGAGGGACTTAAGCTTCTCTGCAGCTTGCTGGTCACTTTAGTGGGAAAAGGCCTGTACTGGAACACTGCACATAATGAAGAAGTGCGATTTGTTCACCAAGGTATTATCGAAATACACTTTCCTCTCTTCCTGTTTCTGGCTTTTGTCAAGAACAGCCAGATCTCATCACAGTCTCTCGTCTTTAACTAGGAGAAAACCTGGTCATGAAGTGGCAGCTGCTGTCAGAGCTGCTGAACTCCTCCTCAAAGCTGGTCGCTGTGCGGAGCAGCTCTGGTGCCATCAATGAGGCCAGGTTCCAGTGTTTAGAAGCCCTGAAACTGGCCATCAAGCTGCAAGCACTTGGCCGGTATGCAGGGGGAGCCACACAGGGCTCTGGTTATAAGTTGGTCATTTGGTTGATTAGGCACAAGTAATGCAGTAAATCGAATATGCAGTTAGTTTTTATCATGTTTGTTTTGTATTTATTTCTTAAAGCTGTGTGGAGTTCTTGGTGCTTAAAGCAGAGTTGGAGCTGAAGCAGGGGGAAACGGAAGAAAGTCGAACAGATCTGAATTTTGTCAAAACCCTCCTGGAGCACGACGCAGGTATGTGAACACACTGAGGCGTCGATTCAAAAGGAGCTGCTTTCTCATTAATGGTACATCAAAAACTATGACTATTGTAAAAACAGAAAAAGTTCCATGTATTTTATATGAAGCTCATACACATTTGACATATAGAGTTAACATGTCAGCCTTTGCTTCTTGCATGTTTGATGATCATAGCTCATGGATAATGAAAACCAAAAATTCAGTTTCACAAATGATTAGAAAATTGTGAAACTAAAAAGACTGGATCTTCTCTTAAATGCTCTTGCAGAATTAGCAACATGCTACTCTTGTTCACAGTTTTATAACGTTTAGCTTAAGACTTTTTTAACTTTTTTATATTTGTCTCAGTGTATGTGGTGACTAGAAGCACAATAAGTCATATCATCAATAAAATCTAAATTAGAAGACAAGCAGAATGTAACAGGATTATAAATTAATAGAAATACTCTTCTCTTTCCCTTAGATTTGTCAGATCAGGTTAAAAGGACGGATGTCAAAATCAAACCGAGAAAAGGTCGTCCTGCTCAAAGACCTCAGTCGCCTCTTCCATCCACGGAAAATGAGCTAAAGGACATCTTGAGCATCAGGTGGAGCGCCAAAGAAGTGGTCATGAAGGATGTGGCCAGCTCTCCGCCCCTTAAAGCTCCACCTGTGACCTGGCTCTCCTCACTGACCCATGAACCTGATTGTCAGTGTTCCTGCTGCTCAGAGCTGTGTTTAGGCCGAGCCTCGGCTCACTGGGCGGCAACGCAGGCGGAGCTTGCTCTTCAGCTTGATCCAAATGACCTCAGTGTTACTTCTAAGCTTCACTGGGCAACTTTAGTCTGCTGTAAAAACGTGACCATGCGACTCAAGAAGAAGCTGACTGAGCTCTTCCCTCCCTGCAACCCTGCAAGAGGCATCTCCAAACCGTCCCTGATGCAGGACGTGGTGGGCCGTGTGTACCTGAGCATGGCCCAGGCCGAACTTCAAACAAAGGCCAACAAAGTCTCTGGCTTGTGGAAAATACTAGATGCTGGCCTTGCATTTATGGATTCCACATCCTCTCCTGCGCTGCGACCTCTAAGAGGGCATTTGATGGCAACTAAAGCCATTGCTTTACTGATGAGTTTGGCTGCCAAAAAAGGCTGCAGGCCTGAGGAACTGTTTTCAAAGACCTGGACATGGAACGCACCAAAGGAGCCGAAGGACATCGAGTCCAGGGAGAATTCAGTCCCACCTTTAAAACTAAAGAAGGCCAAAGCCTCCATTCAAAGCCCGAATGCTGCAGAGAAAAAACAGGAGCCAAAAAAAGTCAAAGCGGTCAAATCCAAAATTCAATTCACCGGCAACTCAACCAAAGCAAAGAGTATGGTTCCCAAGACGCCAGTTGTTGCAAAATCTAAGTCCTCTTCTGACGTGTTTGATTTCAACACGGTAGTTCCTACTTTGATTTTCACTCCTGTTCAGAATATGCAATGCCACGCTTCAGTACATAAGGTGTCGAGAAGTACGACTAAATTCCAGTTTCATGTGTATGAAGACGTGTCACCAGTTCAAAACAAGGTTCCTCCTGTGCCTGCGGCTCCGAAACGGACTAAGAAAACACGCTACAAGGTGAGCAGAAACCAGATTTGCTGTCAGAACGTAAAGATGATTGGACACCTCTCAAGCAAATTATTATATATATATATATATATATATATATATAATTATTTTTTTTTTTTTTTTTTTTTTTTTATGGCTTGCAGTGGAGAGAATTGTTTGTACCTCTTCAACTTTTTCATCTAGTTACATTTTAATCACAAAGTTCTGTATGTTTAACTGGAATATTGTGTGATAAATTGGTAAACGCTGATATTCCTTACACTAGGGATGGGTGACACAGAATTAGTTTTAACACAATATTTTGCGGTATTATTGAGATGAGGATAAAAGTGGCAATAAGAGATATTCATTACTCTTTTTTTAGGTGAATGTATAACTGGAACTGCATGAAATGGCAATCACAGCCACAAAAAACCCAAATGTTGGTTTTGACAAACGTACCCAATTGTAACAGTTTTCTTTTACATAAATCTGCATTTAATCATATATATATATATATATATATATATATATATATATATATATATCTCGTTGAACAAACATTGACAAAAAATGTAAAAAAGAACAATTCCAACAATGCAGACAATTTTGATGGATTTTCTACATCATTAAATGATGAATCAAAATTAAGAAATTTATCACGATAATTTATGACCATTATGATAAATGTCCACCTCCACTGTAGTCTATAATAAATCTAAGTTTTACTAAGGTAAATCAAACTTCTCAATGATTTCCATTTGTTCAAATGAACTTTTAGATGTTTCATCATCAAATTGTCTCCTCATCTTGTCACAGGTTGAGTTTAGCGATGAGAGTGACTCCGACGTAGCTCCCCAAGCAGACCTCAAAGTGTCTGCAAATGTGCGTAAAAATCGAACATCTAGAAGAGCTGCTGCTAGGCCTAAAACGGCCACAGATCCACCTGCAGAGAACACTGCAATCAGGAGGCCAACCAGAGCAAAAACGAGCGTGGCAAAGCCTCGACCGGCCTCTTCTGAGGATGACGAGGCTTTGCTTCGTCAGCCTGCTTCCAGCAGAAGAGGAAGAAGCAGAAAACAATCATCCAAGACTGAAGAACTGCAGGATGAGCTGGACACCATGAGGACTATCGTGGAAGAAGCTGATGGTGTCCTAGACATAAGCATCGAGCAGCTCAGGACGTCTGATGCTGAGGAGAATCAGTCAGCTGCAGCTAAAGACATCAGTATGTTTTTTGTTTGTTTGTTTGTTTTGTTCTTGAAAGAAAAACATTGCCATCTTTGACATCAGATTAGCTTCTGAAACAACTTTAAACATTTTGTTTCAGCTCATTGAGTTTTCTTAATCAGAATGCCAGTGTGACGTGATGGCAATCAAATCTTTCCTCTGTCCTCAGACATCGACTTTGAGGTGTTGAGGAGGGATATGTACTGTGATTTGGAGAAAGGTGGGCTGTTTGAAAAGAGAAACAATGGCCGTCCAACAGAAGATCGATCAACCAACATCGCTCACGCAGACATCACGCCAGGTATGTGACTCTAAGTTAATTATTTTTGATAATGTATTCCATTGCAGAGTTTATCTAATTGAAATATGTTCCTATTGAAAAGATTGAAGTTCTTAATTTTGTTGCACCTGTTTGTTTTGGTCCTCAGACAATCTTTCGGTGGAGGACGTTCAGGCTCTGCTGCACTCAGCACTGCTGACTCTTCATCACTTCCCCTGCCCAACAATCTACCCAAGCCTCTGCACTCTTCTGGCCCTGACCACAGGGGAGAGCGACCCTAAAAGCACAGCAATGTTGCACGCCCAGTCGTTGGGAGTCAACAGTCGCCATCGCACAATCCGCTACTTAAACAGCTCTCGCCTGTAAGTTTGTATGTTTGAACTCGCTTAAGCGTATCGGTTATTGAAATTAATGTAGTACATTTTATAAGTTAATTGTGCTTTTTTTATATCTAGAAAACTGAAAAAAAGGTCCAGCAGTTTACCAGAAAAAATGGATGCTCTGAGTCTGAATGAGCCCAGTTTGACTGAAGAGAAGCTGTGTCAGATGGACGACATATTTTCCTTCCCCACTGCAGACTTCTGTTCCTTCCCCAAGAACCCGTGCCAAGAGTTTACCCAACAAATTCAACAGCTTCCACCAGGTAGCCACTGTTTATTCTCAAAAGCTTCTTAACTTTAAATATTGTTCTCTGAAGTCGAACACAGATAAATGATCCCAATATTTTTCTTTGTCTTGGTGTTCAGGAGTAACGGTGTGTTTAATGTCCGTGCTGGGAGTAAAACCAGGGCAAATGGGGGAAAGCTTAATGCTGACACGTCTGGAGAAGGACTCTTCCCCCATCACTCTTCATATCTCCACTTCCAAACAAGAGGTTAGATTGATTAAAAATGTTTTACTGTTTAAATAACGTTCATCCAAGAATGTGTAGAAATTACGATCTAAAACGAAATTTTAAATTTGGCCACAAGAGTTTTTAAGTATGTTGTCTTGGCCATTATATTGGCCGTCAGATTAGTAAAGCTGCATTCACTGAGCCGAATTGAGCTCAGCACCAATACCAGATAAAATAAAATTTATCTTTCCTGAAAAATTCCCCGTTGCCGTTTCAGTCTCGCTCTCCAGTGTGAAACTTAAACTTTTTCTTCAGAATGCACCTTGATGGTGCGATAAACGTTTCATAAGGTCAACATCAATGAATCAAAGCGTTTTTTCACAAGGCAGAAACTCTTACAGAGATGACTTATTAAATTGCTTTTTGAGATAACTATTTGCTGTTTGTCATGAGGTTTTGGTTTTCTGTATATGAAAATGTTCCCTGTCTTTGTGTTGTGAAGCTCACCGTTGGGTGGTTGGTCCAGGAGATGGACAGCATTCTGGCAGAGCAAAAGGCTGTGAGCTGCGTGGCTGAGAAAGCCAAGTGGTGGGAGGGTCGCCGAGCTCTTGACTGTCGACTTCAGGTAAAGGTCTTAGTGCCGTCACCTGATGTCAAATGGAATTATGAAAACTGATTTTTTTTTTTTTGTGACAAATACTCGACTACAGAGAATATTTAATATTCCGTGGTTTTCACTTTTGAGTACTTACCAAATGTTTACCAATGACTGTCATTTTTCAGCAACTGCTAAAAGAAATGGAAAAAATGCTTGGATGCTGGCAGAGCCTTTTTTTACCTCTTGCACAAGATCCACAGCTCACCGATCAGGCTAAGGAACTTAGCAAGGCGTTATCTAAGAGAGGAGTGACTGTGAGTGAGAAGATGCTGAAGGTATGTTGCTTTTTTTTATTTCTTTTGTTGGAGATGGAAGCTGTGGTCTATCTTTTTGATCATCGACTGTTAAGCCCACATTCTTTGTCTCTTAGATTGTGCTTTCAGCTTCTCACTCTCTCTCTGAAGAAGATCTTAAAAGATTTGGATCAGGACTTTCCCCAAAGTGGGACACGGCCTGTGATCATCTTTTCCGCACAGCAGTGTCTCAGCTCTCAGAGAGAACGGAGGCCAAAGGTCACGTGGTTCTAATCCTGGACAAGGTCAGATTGTCCTGCATCAGAAATGAAATGTAACTGATTTTTGCGTTCGTGAAAAAGTCTTTATCACTTCCCTCCCCTTGTTTTCTTTGCAGTATGTTCATAGATTGCCATGGGAGAACATGACAGCCCTAAAGTCTCACTCCATCAGCCGGATGCCTTCTCTACATTCTCTGATCGGACTGAACTTTCAGAAGGAGGTGAGATTTAGATCATTAGTACCATCAGTGGTGCTGATCCAACTCGTAGCTTATTAGTTGTGCGTCGTGGAGATGATTCAACTGGATACGTTTCCCTCGTCAGACGGATCCTCAGTCCGTCCTGAGGCAGGGTGTGGACCTGAAGAAGGTGTTTTACGTTCTGGACCCTGATGCCAATTTGAAAAATGCACAGGATCGGTTCAAGGAGTGGTTTTCCACGTGAGGCAAATTTTAAATGAGACACATTTCAGTCACGAGTTTATATTTTGTCCCATTACTGATAACCCTTTTGTGTGTGTGTGAAAGTAAACCAGGCTGGCGGGGTGTGTGTGGTGTCGCTCCTGACTCAGGACAACTACAAGAAGCTGTTGCTTCCCAGGATCTGTACATGTGAGTTTGAGATGAAATTCTGGTAATATTCCTTAAATGTACAGTTAGACTGTAAAAAATGTTTCATCAACTTCACTGTATATTCAGTTTGTACTCTTTCATCTGTCAAAAAAATAAATCTTAGATGGAAAACACAACTGCTACTCATGTTCCCAGCCTTTAACTATGTAGACACACAAAAAATAACAGATTTATTGAAATTTGTATAAATGTTGTGCAACTTATTGTGAATCAGATGGAGGAAACAAAGCGTTTTTTTTTTTTTTGTTTTTTTTTTTACTGAATGTCCCCGTTTTGCCGTAGTTATGTGGGACATGGAGCAGGAGCCAGGTTTCTGGACAGCCAGGCGGTCCTCAAGCAGCAGATGAGAGCTGCCTCGCTGCTTCTGGGCTGCAGCAGCGCCGCTCTGGCGGTCAAAGGCAATCAGGAGGGACAGGGCATCATTCTGAACTACCTCATATCAGGCTGGTGAGATGAATCTTTCTGCTTTTATCCACATGCTGTAATTCATTTTTGGGATGACTGTGTCTGCATTCAGTCTGTGGCCTGAATTGTTGTGGTGTCTTTAAATGTGTTGTTTTTCTCCTAGCCCCTTTATTTTGGGCAACTTGTGGGATGTAACTGATCGGGACATCGATCGCTTTACCAAGGTCCTGCTGGAGTCCTGGTTCTCTGCAGGATCCGGAGCACCGCTCATGGAGTTCATAAATTCATCGCGTCAGGCCACACACCTGAAATACCTCATAGGAGCCGCACCCGTCATCTATGGGCTACCCATCCACCTGCAGTAGGACTGGAAGCCTTAAAATACCTAGCAATAAACAGAATAAACACTTTGTTTACCCAACCCTATGACGCTTTATGAACTCTGAATGTTTTTTTCTAACCCTAATTTTTTTTGAAAATTTTGTTTTTAAAATTGCTACATATTTTGAATAAATGAGGTGACACATTCAGTCTGGTTTGCAAGTGTTTTTTTTTTTTTTTTTTACCAGATACAACGGTTACCGTAAACCTATAGTATTCATAATTTTAAATGGAGATGCATTTTTTAAAAAATCATCCCTTGGTTTAACATTTTATTTTTGGTAAGAATGAATAGGACTTAAAACAGCTTAGCTATTAGAGTCGTTGACTTGTAAAACAAACGACAAATGAAGTATTTGATGTAGTGCTTGTCATAAGTCATTTATATTCCTGTTTCATCCCCCTTTTCAGGGCTGCAGGGGTTGTTGGTAGGTAAGGATGACTGGAGCGTGCATGAAGGTTCTCGTGTAGATCCTGGTTCGTCCGCATGGGGGCAGTGTCTCAAATTATTTTACTTAGAAACATGAAAGTTCTCGGCTCTTTTGCATCATGGCGGTAAATCTCCCAAGCTTCTCCCAGCCTGGTTTGGAGTGCTTTAAGCAGCTACAACAGGTTTTTGATCCATTTGTTTTTAGTGTATGAGAACACTGGGCTGGAATAAAACAGGATGAATCTTTTGACGCTACAATTAGCGACGTGTTTCTGTAATCTCCCAGCTAAAAGCCGGTGGAACAAAATGACTAAACCAGCATTTGCTGCATGGTTTTGACATTTCTCTTGGTTCTTCACATTTTTAGCTTTGGTATTTTCTGAAGTTTAAATTTGTAGCTTTTCGTGTTTGGATTTTGGGTGTATAAAACATAAGCTGTGATTTGTCTAAAGAATGGATTTGTGAAACCTCAAACTCAAAGGCTGTGACGTCGTCTCTTGTCTTGACCTAAACGCCCCTTACAGAGAGAACCATCTTCACTGAGACAAATTCATCAGTCCAGTTTACGCAATTTACTGTTTTTATTGAGGTCTGAATTGTCACTTTAGAGTTTAACCAGCGCTTTGGTTAAAATATAAGCTCAAACCATCTCTTCCGTGGTTTATAACGAGTCTCTGCCAGCCTTCTAAACCATAAGGCCAGTCGGAGTTAAAAAGGGAGTGGCAAAAGCAAATGAAGTGGGTTAGCAGAGCTCGTCAACGACTGATTGTTTTTGTGTGATCAGATCTTTCCTGTCTGCAGAGTCACCATTCACGAATGATATGAGTGATGACATCTAATCTCCCTTTGGAAAGTATTTTTGAATTGAAATAAAAAGGGAAAAAAGTACCAATTTGTCCAATGTCCACACACATTTGCCAAAACATGCAGCTGTGTTGAGTCTAAGTGGCTTTTATGAACAAACTGCTTTTATTTTAAGGTCATATCAGCTTTTATGTCGCACAAGTATGAATGGCTTTATTGATGAAAGTCCATTTTGATATTATTTGCAACTCACCCCCTTCACTTAGTATTTCTGCTCCATAGCAACATGCGTCACAACTAATGGTTTTCCATTAATCTGTCATTCTTCTTGGTAAATTATTAACCATTTAGAAAGTATTTTTACTGAAACCAGTAATTGATCTGCTTGGTGTTGAGGAGAAGCTGACATATGTACACAATGTATACTGGGAAAGTTGCTTGAATCTGGCTTTTTGCATATTTTTCTAGTTGGAAATAAACAAAAGGTTAAGTTTTTTTTAATTTATTTTTTAATTGAGTCGTCTGAGAAGCCCCAAGTTTCATATCAAATATAGATGTGGTGTGTGTACGATGTTGGAAACTTTTCCTGTATATAGTGGGAGACTTTTTTGATCTTGTAATTGGAAGGTTGGAGGTTCAATTCTAGCTTCCTCCTGGCAGAGGAACTAGGCACTTATAAATATGTTTGTGAATGTGGCTCTAAAATGAAGCAGTATGACTGGAAACACACTATGCAAATTCAGTACTGTTAGCACTTCTGATTATTTATACTATTATAATTCAGTGTCAGATCTCAGACTGTACTCCCTCTATTTCTGAACTTGTTCCTTTATTGTTTGAACACATAAAACAGGAGGGGATATATATTATTGGCTTACATTTGGCAGCTAATTAATATCAAAACAAGTATTAAATTTCACTATTTTTCCATCTGGTAATGAGAATGAGCTCAGCTTGGGAAAACATCATTAGCTCAGATATCTAGATGAATCGACCATCATAAGTGCTTTTTATGCTAAATGTTTTGGAATCATTCTCGTTTGTCTGTTGCTTTGCATCGGCGGCTGCTCCTCTTTTATTCATGTTGATGTTTCTTTCAGGAAGCCGAGTTCCTGGTATGTTCAGTCAGACAGCTGAAAGACTCCCAGGCCCGATACGCTCACGCACTGGAGAGCGTAGAGATCATGAGCAGAAACAGAAATGGTGTGTGAACTAAGATCAGTTTTCTTAAAAATGTTTTTTTAGTCATAGTCCATCTTGATCCTTATGTATTCAATACTACGAGCTTCGCATTGCTGGTTTATCAGAGATGAAGTACGAAAGTGTGTGTGTGTGTGTGTGTGTGTGTGTGTGTGTGTGTGAGTAGTCATCCTTTCATTTCTGTCCCATCACAAACAGGAGAATTCCTTGTGCCCCTCACAAGCTATGTATCCTTTGAGTCTTTGGTGTTTTCATCAAAATAAATGTTTGTATCTGTCTATCCAGCAGCCATTGTTAATTTTAGTGTTGGTTTATTGACATCACATGGTGAAATCAGTGGTCGCATCTACCTTTGAATTTTAATATAGTAAATAGTATATTTCACTTATTATGATTTAAAAACCCAAAAGTTCAGTGTCTGAGAAAATAAGGTAAATTTAGAAGAAAATAAATGATGCAGAAATAGTCAACTTTTTTTCACAGTGTGGTCTTTAGAGATGTCGCTGTAGTACACCAGCATGATGCATTTGCTTACAAAGTCCACTACCTTATCATCAGTGAGCTCACACATTAATTTAGACACCAGCAGACTTTGCAAGACGAACTTACCACTGAACTAAATATGATCCAAGGCGATTTCTTTGTGGTGGGATATAAATTGATAGCAATGATTTCAGATCCGTGTTTGACCTGAACTGTACATGTAGATGTATGTTCCTGGAGCTTTAAACACGGACCACGTCATGGTGAACATTGGGGCCGGATTTCATGTGGAAAAGGTAATAATACATGCTTGCTTTTGAAAACTTGTTCTTATATTTAAAACTAATCACTTCAGGTTGTGTCTGATGAGAAATTAGATAATTGTGTTTTTATCGCATCTTGTAAGTAAGTGCTATCATTTAGTTTTGTTTTTTTTTCTGTTGGATTTATCATCTTTGTTTGTATATCGGGATCCATTGTGTCTGTTTACTAATAAAGTGAGATTAATAAATCGTCAAAGTTCAAAAACTGAATGATCTGCAAAATGTGAAAAATCCACAAAATATCAGAATCAATTCAATAAAAATAAAATAAATTGTAAATAAAGTTTAAGTCCAAGTGAAGGTGTACTCTTAGTCGTAAAGCTTGTTATGTTTTTGCCTGTGTAGAGTATGGAGGAAGCCAAGGCCTTCTTAAAGCGGCAGATTGACCTCGTCTCAAAGCAGGTGGAAAAGGTTGAGTCAGTTGTTGAGGAGAAATGTTTAATCATCAAAGGTAAACTGAGATTTCTCTGTTTTTATTATTTCACTGAATACATTGCTTTTCCATCAACTAGTCCATTTTCTCCTCCATATACCCATTGGTTTGTCCATTTTCCTTTCATTCATCTTTTTCCATTAACCATCAGTTTATACATTCCACCATTTGGTCCAATCATCCCCTCAGTCTTTAGGTTTTCGCAGGTTAAAGGCTCATATCCCGATAATACATTTTCATACATACATACCCGAAAATGTATTTGTACACCAATTAATTAGCAGCCGTCACATATGATCTTTTCATAAGTAGATTGAGATTTGTTCTTAACTCTTTCATCCAAGTTTCACTTCATTCTATTGCTTGAATTGTTTTTTCTTTATTGCAGGAGTGAAAGCCTCTATTCTGACAACTGGAGCTGCCAACCACGGGTCATGAATTCACCTGCCGTATGAGTATTCAGGTGTAGCTCTGCTCTCTGAAGTTTAATTGTCATTAGTTTTCTTAAGTTGATTGTTTTTATTCGAGTTGTTTGAGATGTTGTTGCTGGTTTAAACATTTAATATTTTAAAGGTTTATTTTAGTGCCCTGGTTTTTGGGTGAAACGGCTCGGATGTGTTTTCTTCAAAATGTTTCACCTGTATGTTAAAACCCAGGAATATATCCTGGTAGGTTATAGGGTAAAAAAAATAGGGTAGGCAAGAATAAGCTTTGCTTCAGCCCATTCCTTTTTTGGTAAATTGTGGGTTATTTATTGTTTATTGTCATTTCTTTGTTGTTTCTGGTGATGTGGACAGTTTACCAAAATAAAATAGATAAATCAATCAAATGAATCAATCAATATTTTTTTTTTAGTGTTAGAGGAACATGCTGTGATACATTGTTATAGGAAAAATAACAATTTTATTGTTAAATGTTACTAAAAGTAAAAGAAAATTCATTTATGTAACACTATAACAAATGCAGGATTGTTGATAAAGTTTCTGTCTTATATGGATATTAAATTGAATATTTTAAACATCACTTAACCTATGTTTTTTTTTTTTTTTTTTTTTTTGTTGTTGTTCCTAAAATGACCCAGCTTGTGATGCTGGGTTTTTTATTTATTTGATAATTTATTTTTAATAGTATTTTTCATTGAATAGTAAAGGGAATGCTTTGAAGAATTAATAACCTTCAACCAACTCCTGGACACAATTATTAAATCCAATCTTGGATAACATAAATGAGAGTAAAGGTGTAACAGATTAATTTTCCAAGACTCGAGATTTTAAATTTTGTTGGCCTAAAATATTGATGGATGCCATTTTGACCACAGGGGGCAGTGTTTTAGATAAATCTCGTTCCATCTCTCAGTCGGAACCACAATGAATGGGATACTTCTTAACAGTCAGCCGGTGCATGGCTTGGGCAAAAGCGAAGACGAAGTGGCGGGGGCGGGGGGTTACGTTTTAAAAACGAGGCAACGTATTCAGTAACGAGGGGAATCCAAGGGATCTGAGCTCATTACTTTAAAGATGTGCGTAATAAGAATGGCAGTGTTGGACATTATCTGCTGCTTAATACTGCATATTAACTGTACATATTCATTATTCTGTTAATGTTTCCTTTTGCTACACCAAACAAGAAAATCTCTGTTTCCCACTGTTTATCTGGACGAAGCATGTTGGAAGTCTAATTCTCCGTTTAAAATTGTGCATAAACTCCGCCAACACGGCGCACCGCTCCGTTCTCCGGCTGACAAATGGAGCGCACCCAGTGCAGCTCGTTGCTCATCACGCTTCCAATATGGCGGTGAATCTAACAGACCTCTCCCTTCCTCAGTTGGAAGGATTAAAAGGCCAACTGGACCAGGTATTGTGTCTTTTTTAAGTACATACGTACTAGTTTATCAGCCATGTGTGACTATATGACAGTATTTTCCCCCAATTAAAAGAAAAACGGCTCCAACGCTGCTGTCGATTCTTATCCAGCTGCAGCGTGTTAATATCACAACGCTTCCCTTTATTGTGCTCATTTTTAATTAGTGGTGTTTTATTTCAGGAGGTTGAGTTCTTGACATCTTCCATAAGTCAGCTGAAAATTGCCCAGAACAAGTTTGTTGAAGCAAAAGACAGCTTAAGTGTCCTGAGCCCAAACAACAAGGGTACGTAAACTAATTACATTTCTGCTGTAAGAGAATGTAGGGAATTTAACCTGAATGGTATTTATAGATTATACGTTATGCTTATTCAATTATTAGAAAACATGTCTCAACAAATATGTTAACATTGCCAATCTAATTACCAGGATTGCAGTTTTCATTGTTCAGCTATTTTTGGTTCATAATTGATTAAACTGAATATATGTGGCTTATTTCAGTTGCTGGTAACTGTTGCTTTCTTTGTTTTCTTGAACAGGAAAAGAGTTGCTTGTGCCTCTCACCAGTTCTGTATCCTTTTCATCGTTCTGAGCCACCAATCCAGCAGAATACTGCAACAAGACTAATAGGAATTAAAAACATGCTGCCAAAACAGCTTATTAGCCGTTTATCCATAGGTGTATATAGTTTTCAAACTAAACTCAAGCCTCGGTTGACATCATGGATTTATTTTTTTTAATCTTAAGTAAAACTGCATCACTCAAGGAAACAGCTTTTACACCCATTGATACGTCTAAAGGTTGCATCAGTAGACGTCTATGAAAAGCGACAGCAAACATACTTCTTTATGGTGCAATACAGACTTCTTAGATATAACATGAGTTCATGGTTAATGGTGTGTTGGGCCACAGTGGGTGTGCTGCAGTATCTGGCACTAAGATATTAGCATCAGATTACTTTAAGGCCTGCAAGATGCAAGGTGGGGACAAAAATGGATCAGTCTTATTTGTAAAACACAGTCCTGATGCTAGATTGGCTTTAGATCTGGGAGTAAAGCTACACCTCAACCTCTTGCTAAGGTCTTTAAATTATTTCTGTAAAATGTTTTGCTTATATCAAGGTGTATTGTCCTTCTATTGCACTGCCATAGTGGAATACTGTCGCTATGAAAGACTTTACATTTACAATTTAAAATTCATTCCTTATCAGATTTATTAAAATCCTTATTTAGTTGCCCACTTTATTTATGTTAACTCATTAACTTTGAGGACAAATTGCTCAGTTTCCGTTTACAACATCCTACCTACTAACAGGTGCCAAGATGGATGTGATTTGTGTGTTCACCCGGTAATGGTCATATTATGGCTGGACAATGTGTATTGAAAGATGTTGTGTACCATTGGAGATCCTTAGCTGTGTCTACCCAGATGTACGTTCCTGGAACGTTAAATGACGTGGAACATGTCTTAGTGGATGTGGGGACTGGATATTATGTTGAAAAGGTAACATATTTGCTTTTGAATGTGTACTACTGTCAACTATGTCAGATTCAATGGTACTTGATCATATTTTGTCTTTCTAGAATGTGGAGGACTCAAAGACATTCTTCAAGCGTAAAATAGATTTCCTCACAAAGCAGATAGAGAAAATTCAGCCAGCTCTTCAGGAAAAACATGCAATGAAACAAGGTAATATGATGATAAATCAAGAGCTCTGAGCATTTTCATAGCTAGTGAAATTGAACCAAAAAGGTAATTAATCAGTTAGTTGTGTGATTTAACAGAGGCAAATAGTTCTCTATTGGCAGATTGATAAAACTAACCTTTTCTGTTTTGCAGCGGTCATTGAAGTAATGAATCTGAAGATCCAGCAATTACAACAGAGTCAGCAGGCATCACAGATGGTTGGAAACACAAAGGCCTGATGGGAACAACTGTTTGAGCTATTCAGGATTAGACTTTATTTTAAGTTTGCCTTCACAAGATGACGCAAAATGCACAAATCATGTTCGAAGTGTAGGTTGACGGGTGCATGGGAGACTCCCTGTGTACTTGAAGAAATTGAAATAAAAAATTGTCATTAAAGCTAGTTAAGTTTGGGTTAAAAAAAATCCTGTCTCATTATTTGTCACTAGGTCTGTCAATTATAAATACTTTCATCCTAATAGGTAAGGCTTGAGACTTTTCTTGATTATTTCTCCATTCCACTTGGTATATGTTGCAAAAACCTGCATATTGTCAAAAGGTGTACAAGTTTATCTCAACTGGATGTTTGGTGACTTATCTTTAGTCTTGAAGAACAAAACTGCAGTGTAATAATTTAAACTAGGATTCTGTATGAAAATGTAGATTTAACTTTTAGGGCCAACTTTAACTTGGCTTTAAAATTCCCCAAATATAATGTCATTAAGGGCTTCAAAAGGGGCTTTAAAGGCAGGGTAATTGGGAATTAAATTTCTGCAATATGACATCATGCCCAAAAAGGACATAAATTATTTCTTAGAGGATATTTTGAACACCAGAAACATGTTGAGAACAAGAAGCATCTTTCAGTAGTGATGGCATGTCTTAAAAATGGAACATTTTCCTGTACAACGTACAATTTTGATCAACTGTTTGGCCAAAAGCATCTAAATGTTTCAATAGAAAAGTCTTTTACGCACTGAGCAGGGAATTGGCTACAGATGAGGATGTCTTCAACACACTGCAACAGTGCAGTGACATAAGACAAAAAGCTGTTTTTCAGTGCAGCTTCATAGATTGTAGGACTTTCACAAAAACCCTAATAGTCTGGTGAATATCCAGACAGCCTTGGAACTCAAAACTTACTTTTGGGATGGACAGGGACAGAGAAAAATAAGCAGTTACCAATTTCTGACTAAATATGTTTTTTTCTCTGTAACTCAGACATTGCACACAGAATGTCGTGTACATTACTTCTTTTGGTGTTTTTTCAGTTACACAGGAAACGGGAGTACATGCAAGCTGTTGCTTCTTTGTTGCATTCTCTAACTACAGAGTGTGTGTGGGCCATTACCTCCTTTGAGTGATGATGGAATCACACTAAGGTCTCCCAAGGACCTGCTGAATTTCCATGAGAATTGAAAGGTTGATGAGTCTTCAGTGCAGTGACCTTTTCCTGGGAGGCAATAAATGAAGTTCTTCATCCCAGGTCTCATGACTTTACAACAATGTTCTTTCTTTGTCTTCTGTTTATGTGAAGGTAAAGGAGGTTGTAGTTCTTCAATTTTTATTTGGGCCACCATAAATTGTTAAGAACAAACATGCACCTTAGCCAGAGCATAAAAATAAAGCAAACTAACTTTAGAAAGTTTGTGGTTTTTAACTGGAAAGCTAAATTGTTCATAATGCACATAGCATGTAGCACTCAGTTAAATGCATTTGGTTTCTGTGCAATTTTTGAAGTTACAAGCACAATATTACATGAAATATTAGCCATCTTGTTTGGTCTAGAAAACAGTTTTATTCAGCAAATTACCATCATTAAGCCTCCAAAAGCAATTTGGAGGCTTAATGATGGTATTATGGGGGACATAAAAACAGCTTTACTGCATTCCAATAACTTTATACCCTCATTCACTTCTTTATGACTTTATATGTTGGATGGCTGGATAGAAAAATGACTATTTGTGCTGCTTTCCATTTACCTATAAAGTAAAAACAGGACTCTGGAGATGAGTTCTTTGTTCATTAATTAACACAATGCAATAACACATTTCTCTGAATATAATCTTTTAAAAACCGGTTCAGCAACACAAGTTGTACATAATTTTGAATAAACATACTGCCAAAAATACTAACTCATCATTTTGTAAATTAATGAGTTGCCATGTGTCTTAAACATATGGCAGCCATATTAGATTTTTAGGTTTGATGTTGCCCAAAATGTTGTATAAGCTCAGTTTATTTTTTCTATTTGAAATGTGTAAAAAAAAATAGCATACATGGGCATGGTACTAGTTGCTTTACGAGAAGACTTAGTCAAAAAAGTTCACTTGAAAAAGTTTTGGTGGAAGGAAAAATATGTTTCACAAAGATGCAAAACGTGAACTACAGCTTTGAGAGGAATTTAAAACAAGATACTTTATATATTGTTCCTAAGAACAATGTGAGAAACAAGAGGAAACGATGCAGGTGAGGTGAAGGTCTTTATGACAACAACATGTTGTTTCATTAAGTTTACGAAATAGAAACCGGGGGTCCACTTTTAAATGTGCCAGCTGCCTTATCCCCGGCTAAAAATGCAAATTTTCACAAGATGAAATCAGTCGTTACGTGTTTCTCATGATTACATCAACCCTCATGTGCAGCGGCCTCTCGGGGGAGGTCACAGCAGTCGCGTCGTTGTACTGGAGGTCGGAGTGGGCTGGAGGGCGGGGTGCAGCCTGTTGTTGGGTCGGACCGAGGCAGACAGGCAGTCTCAAGAAGCAGCTGTCACATGCTGCAGTTACCGCGACGTCGCTGACAGTCAAAGATGAGGAATTGAGCCAGAAATACCTTATCTAGAGGAACAAGTGGGTATTTTGTCGAAAGAGCGCTGTAGAGCTAGTCACTGGTTAAAGTTGCGGCGCGCGAGGCAAACTGTTGAAACAGGAGCACGAGACCGAGGAGTGTGCTGGAGACGGCAGTTACAACCGACAAAGACGCGGACTCTACTGCTTATAATAGCAGCAGATATTTCGCAATTTAAATCGTTTACGGGATAGGAACGGGGTCAGAAAAGTGAAGTCTGCCGGCGCTGACCAGGGTAGAAGAAGAAGAAGATTACGTTAACATGGTAAGTACGCGGCCTGGAGGCTTTCACCTCGGCTAATGATTGCCAACCTGTTTCAGTTTTTCCTGTTCTCGGGTCTACACAGTTCGTGCTATCTGAAGGTCGTCTACACTCTGCGACAGCTGCGCTGTTTTTATAGCTAACGTTTTTAAAAGATGGGAGTCCGAATCAAGAAAACGACTTTTTACTTTCGACGACGTTCATTTCAACCTGTCAAACAAATTAGCTTAGAGTAGCAAAGTAAAATCAGGCCGGTTCCAGCTGGTCTGCTAGTAGTAAACATAAGCTAGTTAGCTTAACGCCGGTGACGCTGATGTCACAAAGTTAACATATGGTAACACCAAGGAACTACTACAAGCCAAATACAAAGGTTTTTTAAAAAAGACATCATAGTATCTACCTAATTAGTTGCCATATTTTAGTGTGAAAGAAAGTTTTATTGAGCAATTTCTCGCCTTTACACGTGTAGTAACTTCTGCACGTGATTTTGGGTTAAACGTTAGCCGCTGCACCCAGTTGTAGCTGCTTGTATGCCGAAGGTCGACGGGGACGTTACCTGAAAAGGGTTATTTGTGGTTGTTCACATTGGTTATCGATTAGCAACAACATGTGTATCTAGAATGAGCAGAGAAATAGGCGTTCGGCGTATGGTTATGTTTTAAAAGTAACCGGAGCACGTCGGCGCCACGTGCTCCTGCCGAAACTCAAAAGACCGTTTCCCCTCATGTTAAAAAAATTAAGTGAACCTTCAGATTTGAAACCCGGGCTATCATACAAGACGGTTTCACATGTAAGATTTCAAAGTGCGTTCATGACCAAACCATCTTCATGTTTGTGTTTGGCTTTTTGGGGGGATTGGATGACAGGTTACACAGCGTTGTGAAAGGCTTGAAATTCAGAGGCGGATCAACTTCGAGTATTGATCCATGTGACCACAGAGGGGCGGGGAAGAGTGAAGCTGACCAATGAAAGCTCAGGGTTGTGTGTCTGTGTGTAAAGCTGGATTTGCGGGTACAGTTACTTCATTCACTGGATTGGATGTGGTATATTTAGCGAATGTGTGATGAAACAGCAGGATTTTATAATGCAAGGTTGCTCAACTCCCTAAAGCGTATTTTAAATGACAAGTTTACTTTACAAACAAAATGCATTCATTATCTAATAATTTGACCTTAACTTTTATATTTAAGTAGAGTACTGTTAAATACCCAAAGTTTGACTTCTTTGATTTTGCTTTAGTTTGAAGCAAGTTGAAAAATCTCTCTTCCGAATAATTTGTGCAAAACTGAGATCATTGGAATGATATGCAAATATGTAGTTAAATGGATTACAGTATTTTGTGATGTTGTTTTTAATGGGGGGAAAAGTTGAAAGCTTAATCAATTTTCGGGGGAAATGGATCTGACTGCATTTGAGAGCAACACATGCCTTGTTTATGTGGGGGTACATTCAACGAATCTGAGCCCGGGCTATTTTCTGCATGTGTACTACTTGTTTTTTTGCCCATCTTCCTGTCTAGCTACTGAGTTCAGACCACCAGTTCCACAAACATAAAAAACTAATAAATAATACATGCTTTTCTGTCAAGATGTTTTGATGGTTTAAAGTTTTTATTGAGGTCCCAAAGGAGGTGGAGTAACTTTTCTCGGTTCGTATAGTAGTTCAGTTATGCCCTTCCCCCATTTGTTGCTGCACACTGCCAATCAGCTGTCAGAATGAAGCTAATTTATCCTCCATTACTTTAAGTAAAAACTATGTCAGCTGTTGTGAAAAACTGGCAGTTTATCAGCAAACTATGAACTCTGTTGGAGCAAATAATGTTTCTAATTAAGCAGCTAGTATCATTTTATTTTACCAGTATTGGTCTACGAAGAATAGAATGGCAAAAATGTAAAATCTGCACAAAAAACATTTGATAACTCCTACTAAATAATTTTTTTCCATGCTACTTTGATATCTATTTTGCAGGTTACCACCAAGGGAACTAATCTTAACCCCAACGCCAAAGTGTGGCAAGAGATCCCGGCTCAACAAAATGACATCCCAGAAGTATCCGAAGATTCTTCTTGGCTCCACACCAACTCTTCTCCCCCTGAGATGACTGATGGTATGGGTCTTGTTTGGTATAATTTCTTTGATAAGGCAGTGTGAGCCACTTATCTGTCTCTTTAGTGAGTATGAGACTGAGAAGTGGCTTTATCAGGTTAGGACACAATATTTGCTGATAATTAAGAGTAAATACAGCTTAAGAAGAAATGTTAACTCTTGGCCTTAGGTGTCTGCGGTGAATTCAAGTTATGACTCCTTTGGATTATTTTGGTTTGCAAACATAGCAGTCATTTCCCAATCTTTTTGCTGTTTTCCTTTCTACCATAGGGTTCTCAGATGTTCTTTCTTTGGAGAGTAAAGGATACTCTATTGACTTCCTGAGTAGCCCTGATGAGTACTCCACATCTGAGGATTTCGACCACACAGACCTGGGATATTTGGTCTTTGATGCACAGGGCGACTCTGCCATAGACACTGAACTGTCTAAGGAAGAAGTAGTGACTGAAGAGAGCTTACGGGAGTCATTAAAGAAAAGACTGGAGTTCTGCTTTTCTAGGTAAATCCCGTTTGTTTCATCAGAATAGGCTTTTGCGTGCATGAAAGGAACAACTCAGTAACAACTTTTTGTTATATTCCTCAAAGAATTTAGTCTTAAAAGAAGTCGTCGTTGTATGTTTTACTATTGTTCAGTTCAACCATTTCTTGGTGAAACATTTACCATTTTTACATTTGGTCTGCATTATTTTGTTAATAACAGAGTAGAGTACTCAAGAGTAGCAATGCTTTATGCTAATATTGCTTATGTATTCAGTAAGGTCGAATAAAACTACTCTTAAGTGTGTGTGTCTGCATGTGGATAATAAACGGTTATTATCCGCCTCTGATAGAAACATTAGTATGTTTGATACAGGCACAATGTAAATGATCTTTTCTTTCAGGGAGAACCTCTCTAAGGATCTGTACCTGATATCCCAGATGGACAGTGATCAGTTTATTCCTATCTGGACTGTTGCCTACATGGAGGATATAAAATCGCTCACCACTGACATGGATCTAATTCTGGAAGTATTGAGAGGTACCAGTGCTACTCTTCTCCGTGTAATAAATATAAATTCTTGCTGGTTAAGATATTGTTAATTGAAAAATGTAAAGGTTTATTGGTGTTAACTCAGAGGAAAAACTCAGTAAGAACAGCACAAGCTGAAAATCTTCAACCATCTAACAGCCAAAATTCATACAGAAATTGAGGAAGGAAGTAGAATGATGTCAACAAACTTTTACTTTTATTACTTCACTGAGTATCTGTACTCAGTGTAGTAATTAAATGGCATTTGATCTGGTGCATGGCACAGGAACATACAGCCATATTTTGTGAATATTCATAAAAGTAGACTGGTTGTTTGGAAGTTTGAGATTGCACATTTGACCTCAGGAATATACCAACCTACCCAAAACTGGATATTGCAATGTCATCTGTAATTTGATATATTTTGCAGTTTTAGCGAAGATGTAGAATTAAGTTGCAGAAAACATTACATTTAGCTTGATTTGATTTCCAGGCTGCTGGTTTACCTTTTTTTTTCTTGTCCTGCATATTGATGACATCAGATATTAATGAGTAAACTTTGATCGCTCTCAGAGATGGCCAGTATTTTATGCCAACCTTTAGTCGACAGGCATTTTCTCTCCACTAAAAGAAAAAAAGTTTTCCTCTGGCTTTCATTATCAATACTACTCTGGTCATGTATCATTGAATGAAAGTGGTGTGAACTCATGTGACAGTAGTTTGGAAAAAAAACATTGCTGGTTTTGTAACCAGATAAAAAGAACCAGGGGTTTGGTGTTTAACAATTGGCTTTAATATAAATTTATTCTGGATCAAATCTTTAAACTGAGAAAGAGAAGTTGCACATCTTATAAAGAAGCTGCAAATTTTGACTTAAATTACACAAAATTAGTTATGTCCCAATACATGGCATAATTACTGTGGTTTCAGTTAGGCAAAGTCTAACGGACAACAGGAGCCGTTGTTGGGTTACCTAACTCTCCACTGCAGCAGTGTTGTCTAACAATTATTTAAAAATATATGTTTTTTGTAATTGAACAAACTTCAATATGTTTATATGTTAAATATAAAATGTTTATTTTTTTATTTCATTTTTTTTTTACAATAAACATATTTTATTATTTCTACTTCTGTGGAAAGTCCCAGAAAGTAAGGGAGTTTGTCACAAAAAAGATAAAGAAAATCTGTGTTGGCCCCACAGGGAGATCAGTTTACATAGTTTCACTAATATAAAACTTAATGTTTATTAAGTCTAGCACATTCTTATTAATATAAAGCTTATGTTAGAACGTATTTTTCTTTACAGCCTCTCCTTTAGTGCAAGTTGATGAAGCTGGTGAGAAAGTTCGACCTAACCACAGCCGCTGCATCATTATTTTAAGAGAAGTGCCAGAGACTACACCAGTTGAGGTAAATATTACCTAATTCCGCATACTAAGCAGTTTTCTGGATTGTGCAAATAAACTGTTAAACCTACAAAATGTTACCATAACATTTTACTTGTTTATACCTTGTTTAAAAAGAACTTGCAAGGTATATATGTGAAAAATGGTAAATCTGGGCTTGTTTAGCCTCTGTTGGGTCTTAAAGTTACTTCATTGTATACCATTGTTCTGTGGGTTAAGTAGTGTTCACTGTTTGGGTCAGAAAATAAATTAAGATTTTTCTTTTCTCTTTTCTTAGGAAGTAGAGGATCTATTCAAGAATGAAAACTGTCCAAAGGTGTTGGGAATTGAGTTTGCTCACAATAGCAACTGGTATATAACATTTCAGTCAGACATGGATGCCCTGCAGGTATGCATTCCCATTAATCATTGTTTACTTAATTTCTCATGTTTGATATTTGCACTATTTCTGTTTTTCTTCTGGAATAAACACCTCATCTGTGTTTAGCATTCTAACTGGTTACTATTAAACACTAGGAGCTAATAGAATACTATTAGTAAGCATATAAATACAAGAGCTCCTTGACTTTGTTAAAATCAATTTTGAACATCTTTGAAGATTACAAGGTTGGTTTAGGAGAGAAATATCACTGAACCAAAAAGGGAAAAAACAGAATTTGCTGTTTAGTAAAAATATATTCCCTCTTTTTTCCCCTCTTTTTCTTGACCAGGCATACAAATACCTACGAGAGGAAGTGAAAATGTTCCAGGGGAAGCCCATCATGGTAAATGACATAAAATAATTTACATTTCTAAGTTTAAAACCCAACTTCCTTTTATAGATGTCATGGAAAAAACGGTATATGTAGCTCTGGATGGTTAATGCTGTTCAGCATTAGGTGGGCTGTCACATGAATGTCCTCAGGGCAAGGCCTGTGTGATTTAGCCTCAGGTTTACCTTGGGATGCAGTTGGATAGAAACCAGATAAAGTGAGCAGCATTTTTGCTAGTATTTGTCAAGAGTGAAAAGGGAAAGTTGATAAAACTTTCCAGATTTATAGTTTAACATCATAATGTGAATCTTGTGCATTTTGTAGATTTTTTTGTTTTTTGGAGGAAAAAAAAGAATTATGTTGTTCATACATATTACTTTTGGTTATAATGTGGGAAAAGTCCAAGGCGTATGAATCCTCCAAGGCCTCTGTTTGCCCCTGTGATGATCAGTATCGCGCTTGGAAGGACCCATATTCACTGTCTATCCAGGAGGACCTTTCATTTTCTCTTCGTAAATCTTAATCTTTGCTTCTTCTTTTTTCCCCCATCCTCCCTCATCCTCTTCTCTTCATCCCCTCATCCTCCTTTTCCTTCTCTCCCCCTTGTTAGTGCAGTGTTTTATGGCCTTATGACCGTGAGATTATGAGATCTGAGGGGACTATCGATAATAAAGCAACAGCACTAATTGTCATAAATAATTATCAAGTGTTGTTCTTGTGTGTTGGAAAGCTTAACTATTTGTCTCCTCTGTAGGCTCGGATTAAAGCCATAAATACATTCTTTGGAAAAAATGGCTTCCACAGTATGGACTCGGCGTATCAGCAGCATGCCCAGCCTCAGGCCCAGTATGTGTCTCCAGTTTACATGCAGCAAGTGTACAGCCCTCAGCAGGAGTTCCCCATTTATCCTGTGGTGTCTCCCACCTGGAATCCTTCTATCGTGCCACACTTTGAAACGCCACTGGTGAGAACTATTGTCTTATTCTCATTTAAAGTCAAACAATCTCTGAACCAGTTAATGTGATGTCCTTCTTCATTAGAATTTAGATTTTTCCTTTCATGTGTTTTTTGTAGATGTGTTTTTATTTTATTTTCTATGTCATTGTTGCAGGCTCCTTTCCCCAGTGCAGGATTCATGAATGGATACAGCAATCCAGGGAACTACAAACCAAACTCCAGCAGCGGCCACCGTCCTGCTGGCAGGAACAGGTACCTGCAAATTATGATAGAGATCGCTCATGTTTGGTCTTGAATAACTTCTGTCATCAAATAGAGACATTCATTATTTTGACAGCTTGTTTGCTTTTTAAACTTCAAGCTTCCTCCACTTTAAGTTTGAGCTAAATGATGGCAGATTTAAGTAACAAATAGATCTATATCAGTCTTTAAATAGCTGTGTGCAATATTCTTAATGCCTAGAGCAAAAAATGAAGTCTTGGAAGGTAATTTAACAAACATTGTGTTAGAAAAAAATAGGCTTTGAAGTCAGTTTTGTAAAAAAAAAAAAGTTTGACTATTTGTTCCTGTTTCACTGCTATTTAGTGCTCATCTCCAAACAGTTCAGTTGAGTGTGCTGAATGTGATTATTATCTAAGAAGGCAGCTATGTCTGTAGATTCCTTTAAAATTGTATCCCTTTATTATTTTGCTCATAAGTGCTTCAAAACATACCTGTACACTTTTAATATATATTTGCTTAATATCTGTTCTTGTACTTTTTTATTCACATCAATGCAGTTGTAGCATTTTCTTTTTCCTTTTACAAACAAAACATTGTTTTCTGTACCCAAGGAACCACATAAAAAGTTACCCTCGACCAGGCGATGCTATTTCTCCTAACTTGGCTCCAGGAACCATGGTGGATGGCATCTCTGGCCCCATGAGTCCACAGGACATCCAGGCACTAAGGACTCTGTCCAGCATTAAATCACATCCAGCCTCTTCCTTCCACTTTAAAGACTCTTCTTCACTGTCCTCCATATCCATTGGAGATCAGAGCCGCTCTGGGCGAGACAGGTCAGCTGAACTCTTTGATATTTGAACAAACGTCTAGATGTCAGCATTTCCAAAATGTAACATTGTGAAGTTGTTTTTTTGATATTTGGTCCATGAGTATAATTGTTTTTTTGTTTTTTTTATACATTTAACTTTAAAAAGAAAAAAAAAACAAATGTATAGGAGTGACTTTCATTATTGGTTCTACTTAAAAAACAAGTTATTGCAAATTATGGTGATGTATTGTTTTTTTCTATTTGTTCTTTGGGTTTCTTTTTTCTTTTAATCCTAATCTAAATTTTAAAATAGGAGAAACGGCCACAGAGGCATGAGGAGGAAAAGAGAAGATGAACAGTCTATGGTGAGCTTTTCGTCTAATATTTTACTCCAAAGTTTCTATGTTGAAAGTTATCTCAATACATTGAACTTACTGAATGTTTTGTTCATGAATGTTTTTTTTTTCCCACTCCCTCATAAATATAACAGAAACCTGTCCCTTTGATGGAGGTCAAGGCAGCCCCTTCTAACTTTGATCTGGCAGCTTCAAGTTTTCCTCCTTTGCCAGGATCTGTGGTTCATGTTCAGGGGGAAACCGTGACAGAGGTGCGCCTCTCCGATGTTGTCCGTGGCCTGAGGCTCACAAGCAAGGTGACTACTATCCCTCGTCATAACATTTACACGTTGAAGAAGGATAGCTGGATTTCATTGCATTGTTGTACTTTTTGTTAAATGTATTTCAGGCAGGAAACCAGGAGAACAGCTTGACCCAAAACTCAAAAGACTCTGAAAGTCCTGCAAGCAAACAGGAATCTATCTCCCTGCCTGCTAAACCCACTGTTGTTGTTGAGGCACAAACAACAGCAACAACTCCTCCAGCATCAAGGTAATTATGTGGTTTAAGAATAATAATTAGCATATTTATCACCTATTTAAAATAACAACTTATCTCCTTTTTTATTGCATCACTAGAGCTTGTCCAACAGTAACAAAAGGAGTTAAAACCGAACCAGCTGCTGTACAGAAAAACTTGCCTCCGTCCACTGAACCTGACTCTAAAACCACTCCAGAACACAATCCCAACACGAGCAGCAAAAGTGTTTCTGCTGAACAACCTTCGTCTTCAACATCAGAGCAAGACCTGGTAGGCCTCATCTCCAAATGTGCCAGTCATATTCTCTCACACCTATTTCAGTTGATTTTTATCTGCTTGATTTGATTTTGTTTTTTTTTACCGAATGCTTTTAATTTCTTAATGTTCTAAACAGAAGCCAAGAAAGCTTAGCTATGCAGAGGTGTGCCAGAGGCCAGCCAGAGACCCACCGCTAGCAGAGTCGCCCTCCCCTCCTGCCACTTCACCCCACCACCCTCTGAAGGAGCTCAAGGTCAACACCGTCAAGGACCCTCAGCTGAACTCTAAAAAGAGTCCAGAGAGAGTTGGAGATAAACCTCATCGGCAGCCTTCACGTCCATTCAGAGGTGCAGCTGGTCACGCCAGAGCGAAAGGTTCAGGGATGAAGATTCGGGAACATCAGAGAGACCAAAATACTGGAAAGTGGTTTTCCCCTCAGCGAGGTCCCAAACGCAGCGGCAAAGAACAGAACATACCCCCACTTCAGCAGAATAACTGAAGCTGGAACTTTACGGACCTTATTTAAAACGTGTAAATATGTAAATTCAGATGAATATATTTCTTTTGACGGATTTTGTCAAAGAATCATGAGGTCTAAAATTATTCAGAGACTTTGAGTCGATATTCCTTAAAGGAAGATGTGTATTTCAACAGAATTCAAGACTGAGTGCTTAATTCTACAATTAACCTTCCAGGTTTATTGTAAAATTATTGTTAACTTTGATACTTAATACAGCAGTACTTCACTTACATACAGATGAGCAACATATTGTCAGCAGAAATCCTTTGTTATACTTTACTGTGTTTGTCATCTGATCTGGCAAGTTGTGCTTTTTATTGCAGGAAAAGTTTTTTGCAGTCTGGCACATTGATTTTGAGACAACAGTTCAGATTTTCCTCTGGTGGAGAAATTCTATTCAGGACTATAAAGACATTAAATAGAATGATGAAACAAAACGGAGCACTGATTTTGAAAAACCTTAATGTCAGACAACTTTAAAGTTTGACTTCGGTTTCATTTCACCATCAGTGATCCTGAATATCATGGACTACAACTTTTTAACATAACCAAAGGTTACGGAACCCTCCATAGACGAGGGTACATGAGGAAATGTGTTGGGTCTTTTTTCCTCTTTTAGTTTTGCATTTTTGCTTTTTAAGCTGTATTTTAACACATTATAGTAGGTAAATATTGGAGAAGAAGGCCCATCTTATTTTTCTTTTGATCTTTTAAGTGTTTCATAAACGTAGAATGTCTGAATGTTTTAAGTTTTGGGGGACTTTATTAGTTTATTATCAGTTTATTAGTTCAATGTTGCTAACATTTTTAAAAGGGCTTCTGCTAGAGCTGATTTAGTGCTTGAGTAATTATGAATCATCTATTTTTCACTTGCATTTTGTAGAAAAGCCAAACAAAGTGTCAGAATATAAAGAAAAATATGGAACTTTACCACTTAGCAGAGGCTAATTATCCACTTTCATTTCTGACTAGGTAATGTTGAATGTACTTTTGTTTTTATTATTTATATTCTTTGACAATACTTTTTTGACATTTCATTTTTGAATTTAAATGGTCAGTGGTAAGCAACCCTGGCCAAAAATGTAGCAAAAAACCCCACAAAATTTTGTAAAACCTTTACTGTTTTCTCTCCGTTTGATTTTGTATAAATTTTATGATTCATATTTTTCCCCCAAAATGTTTCAGATTTGCTCTATTTCCTTAGTTCATGAATGATTCTATTTCTGAAAACAAAGAGCTATACAATGTTTAGAAGTTGGTTTTGTATTTGGGGGATAATCATGAGTTGTTTGCCAAAACAAAAGCTGTGATATGGATGATTACTCAGTACTTATAGAGGAAAAACTTGTGTATTGTATCAAATTCTCTAACTTTGGGTTGAGTTTTACCTTGGGTTGTTGCATACATGCATAGTAACAGTATAAAAATGAATAGTTTGGTAAATGTTTTTAGAACAGCTTTTTTATACATATATATTATCAAGGGTTCATAATTGTTCTGTTTTTGCACTTTTGTGTTTATCAAAGGGACCTTAAGAATAAGTGTTTTCAAACTTTTTTTTTCTTTCCTCTACTTAACTTTAAAACTAGCTTTTTCTTTAACCATTTGGTGTCTTTGAACTGTTGATGGTAATCGTTTGCATTTGTATGATGAGACAAAAAAGGCTGTGAATGCTATGGGGTCAGCAACTACTGGTTTGTGTTTCTTTTTATTTCTTTTTGTGACACCCAACCTGTTTTCTAGTCTTTTATGATATAGTCAAGATTTGTGTTCAGGGTTGTCATTGCTGTTGAATCTTCTAAGTATTTTTTATTTTTATTTTTTTTTTTTGCTTTATTCAAGATTTTAATTGTGTTCACTATTTACAGTAAATGAGTTGACTCGTCTCAAGATGGAACATACCTGTGGAGGGTGTCGATGAAATGTATTTCATATGATCTTGAATTTTGTAATGTTTAAAAAATGTGGGGTGGAAGGTTGAATGCTATTTTTATGCTTTCTTTTTTGTTCTGAACTAATTGTTTAAAGAGAGGGGAAAAAAGGTTCAAAATTAGAAAAAAATAATTTTCAGCCAGTGGATATCTGAAAGCATGTTTTTCCTTGTGCCTTTGCTTGTTCTGTTGCAGCAGAAAGAATTCTAAACACATCATGTATACCAAGATTTTTTGGTTCCTTCTCAAATAATGACATAATGTGCTTATCAGGGGCACTTGTTTTCATTATTGCTCAATGTCTTTCTTCATTGGAAACATGTTCAAGTCAGTTGATCAAACTCAAAAATTAAACTTCTTTATGTCAATTCTCTCGCCTTGTTAATTTTAATTCAAACATTAAAGTCCGCTTATCTTAAAAAAGGGGGGTTGGTTCGTTTATCAATTGTTCACTGGTTTATCAATTAAAAATGATGTACAAATAAAATACTTTCAGTAAGATTTTATGATTTGTTTCTTGAGTGTGTATGTATATTGAATAGGGTTATATTTAAAATGTAAGTCTTTTCGCTTTTTACAAATCTCGAGAAACACCATAATATTCTACCAAATAAACTCCCGGAAATAACTTTAAAAGATTATGTAACCGTTGGAAGTCACGTTTGTCTTCACCAGAAATATTTAGTTTGTTGGTGCTCAATATTGACACGACATTCATAAGCGGTTCATTCAATAATGATATACAAAACTGCAAAGTGGAGCTTTAAAAGCACTTTTTAAACTGAGTGGAAATTACACGTTCCCGACCGAGCAACCCTGTTACGTAACATCGAGCTCGAGTTGTCGCGAGATTTGGCTAATGCAAGTGTCAGAGTGTCAACAACGGACAGGCAGCAGCAGCAGCGCTGTCCGGAGCAGGGAGGGGGAGTGAAGAGGCACTTTAAACGTCCGGTGAGTTTGGACGGATTTCACATCATGTAACACTGCATCTCGCATTAAGCGGAGCTTACTGTTGGTGTTTGTGAAGGATTTTGTATTCTTACTCAGACAGGAGAGTTTATAACCACAGTTAGCATTAGCTTGCTAACGTGTAGTGTAAATTCTTCAAGTGAGCTAATGGAGCTTCGCCTAGCAGTTAGCTTGAACACAGCTAGCTTATGTGTGAGTGTGAAAATATGCGTGTTTTTACAAGTATTTGGCGTGAATTGTTTCTGGTTCTATGACGCTATTTTACATATTCGTTCTAATGTCGCGTTTAGTTTGAATAAAAGTGATAAACGTGGTGAGGACAGGATTAATTGCGGAACATCTATGAGAAAGTCAAAGCAAGCAAAGATTATGCCCTGTATAGCTCAATCTGTCTGCTTTCCGAAACCCGAAGAAATACAGTAAAATCGGTGCTGACCGGTTCGATGGCGAGCTAGAAAAGGTTGCGTGGTAGCTTGCATTGGTTGTGCTGCCTCATCGTTGAACGTTTTGTCCCAAATCATCCTCCAGAGTCCAGAGCAAAACCCTTCAGATAGGCCGATAGTGCTCGGCCTGTGTGTCCCTCCTTCCTAACCAGTTATTAAGGTGACTAGTTCAAGCGGTTACAATCACAGGTGAACTCAGGGGATTTCCCGTGATATCGCAGGTTTTCCTTCTCAACAGGTGCAAGGTTCATTTCCTTACTTTAACCAGATTTGACCTATTGATCTAGACAGCAGCAGCACAGTTCAGATTTACTACTAACAGCAGAGGGAATCACATTAAATCATATATATTCAGGCATAAAGTTATTACAGTGCAAACAGCATTGACCCTTCAAAGCACTGGACTCCACTAGACCCGTTACTAGTATTTGGCACTAGAGTCTTTGTTGCATAGTCACAGTGGATCAGACTAGAACATCCAGAGATGGTCAATTGGATTAAGATCTGGGGAATTGGAGGCCCAGACTCCACCTCAAACCACCCCAGAACTGTCTTGTGCTTTGTGATAGGGTGAATTATTCAGCTGAAATGAAACAGCGATAATAAAATGTAACTTTCAATGACGGTGTGAATATGGTCTTCTGGTAGGTTGTATGTGTTAAGTAACGTCCACATGGACGGTGGTCCAGAATATTTAAAGTTTTTATTGCTTTGTAGTGATTACCCATGTGTTACCTGTGTTAGTGATGCACATGAACACAGCTGAAACCTCCTTCTTCCATTGCTTTAAAGTCTGGTTTAGATTCTCAGTAGACCATTGTTAGTTCTTTAGCTGTCAGGGGTCAACATATGCACTCTGACCACTCTGTAACTATTCAAACCTAATGTATTAGCAGTAAAGTGGGAATTTTGCTGCATATTAGACACTTTTTCCTAAAAGTTAAGCTACAGTAGCTCCTTTGGTGGATTAGACCACTCAACAAGCCCAAGTTCGCTCCCTTTCTTCATCAATAATCACCAGATATGCAGTTTTGGAGATTAACACTGACAAGTCATCACAATTTGGCCCTCAAGCTTTCTCAAATCCTTATGCTTGACAATTTTTTCTGCTTCTAACACAATCAGTTTGAAGACGATATGTTCAGTTACTAACCAGGATACCCCACCCACTAGCAAGTGCCACAATGAAGAAACATGAGGTGATATTTGCTTCACCTTATCAGTGCTGTCTGTCTGGAGACATTTTCACCTTGTTGGACTATGGGCAAGAGTTTTTGCCCATTTTTCATGTACATTCAGAGTTGCTAGAAATTTGAGATTTTTCTTTTAAGATAATCAACATGCCTCTTAAAAAACAAGTTATCAATTTAAATCCTGAAAGTTTGAGAGTGGCTCTATTTTGTTAACTGTTCCTCATTGAAATATTCTCAGACAGTTCAGACCTTGCTTACTCTAAAGTGTACAAAAGACTGCATAGATGAAAAGGGCTTTTGTTAATGGTTTACTCTGAGTGGTCCTAAAAAGCTATTTGCTGTTGTTTCTTGCTGTCCCTTACAGAACGTTGTTTGAGATGGGGGATGATCGACCCTTTGTCTGCACAGCCCCTGGATGTGGGCAGGTAAACTTTTCCAACTCAGCATCCTCGTAAAAAAATATCAATTCCTTGCATTCTAACTTTTAGCTGCAGAAATAACTTTAGTTTCTTCCATTACATGAGCAAAGATTTATAGTCCTTTGACTAGAGAGGCTCTGTGTAAATTCACCCTGTTGTACACCTACACCCATTTCATTTTGCCTCTTCCTTCTAATATTTCATACTGTAAACGCATCATTTCCTACACATGAAGTTAAACAGTTGCATATTGCTTTCTTACAACTTTGTTACATTTATTTCAGTTGCCTCAATTGCTTTCTGGACCTTTTGATTTGACAGATTTGGACCTTTTGACATAAACAGAAAACAAAAAAGGTTTAACTGGAATAGTATGAAGAAACAAAGGGGTGAAATGACCAGTAATAGAAGAGGCTAAAATTCAGAGTGACTTTTGACCAGTTATCATTTTTTATGTAAATAATTATCATCACATCCGTACACACACATGTTCCATTGTTTCTGCTTCCCTGAAGCATTTGCTTGTTGTTGTGGAAGTAAAGCATTAAACTAGACATATAATTCATTTTTCTTTTTTAGCAAATCAGATTTTCTTTCAGAATGAAAATCAAGCTTATGGCTCTATTTACTTAGAGAACCACAAATGAGAATTTTAATTAAAAAATTAGCCATCCCTTTGATTGCTGAAGGTCACTGTCCTCAGTAGAGCTGGCTAAGAGAACTGCCAAAGGCTTTACTTTACAGTGGTCTTTGTAAAATCTCTATTTTATTGAGATTTTACATGATAGACCAACACAAAGTGGTGCATAATTGTGACTATAACACAAGATATGGCCATCTGCCTAAACTGACCGCCCAGGCAAGGAGAGCTTTTGTCAGAGAAGGCATCTAATGTAATTCTGGAGGAGCTGCAGAGATGCACATCTCAGGTGGGAGAATGTGTTTAAAAGACAAATGTTACTTGTGTAATCACAAATGTGTCTTTTCTTTTTGAAGAGTGGCAAAATAGGGCCGCTGTATAAAGATAGCTATAATATGTTCCATTTAAAGTGTGTCACAAAGTAATGCCATTCTCTTGGGAAGATGGAAAGTATGTGACAGAAGGTGCTCTGTTCAGATGAGACTTTTTTTTTTTCTGTATGCAAAATATAAGAAAGTTAAAGTGCCTCTGCATACCACCTTGACCCCACTGTGGAAGGGGCAGCATTGTGCTATGGGTATGATTTATTTTATTGAGGATCTCTGCTGAAACATGAGTCAAATAACCAGATCATTATCAGGGCTTTGTAGAGCTTTATTGCATTCTAAGGAGGCAGTTCAGCCATTTGATTTGATGTGTTGGACTAAGGACATGTCTAAAAGTTTCACGTTACAGGTTTGTCATTTGTTTTATTTTATACAAATCGGAAGCTTCTGTTAATTTGAGTTATAATTTGTTTTATTATACAGTCGCTATACCTCAGTTCAATATTATACGCATTGTTCCTTTTTTACATAAACTAAAAAATGTGTACATAAAATTTGCATATGCTATAAATTAAGGTTAATACAAAAGATATTAATGACGGTCCAGTTCTCAATTTTAAAAACTATAATAATGCTAAAAGATTGAATGTCTCAGTTGACCATAAAACATTGTAAACGGATCATCCCTCCAGAAAACTCACTGCTTTGCAGACTTAAATTGAATTTTGTCATTAAACTACTTGTATATCATGAGCAATAATTAAGCTCACTGCTACCATAGTTTTTCTCAGGAACGTCTACTGTTATTCACCTTTAAATGATCAATAAATAAACAAGCGGATTTACTTCATTCTTTAATTCTTTTCTTTTCTCTTTTTTTTTGATATGTTGGTCTTTTATTTGCTCCCTAGTATCTGTTTTTCTCCTGTTTAATCTGTTGCAGAGATTCACAAACGAAGATCACCTCTCGGTCCATAAACACAAGCATGAAATGACATTAAAATTTGGTCCTGCCAGGACCGATTCTGTCATTATTCAAGGTAGATGCAACCGTTACTTTTTAAAAATGCAGCAGAGGCCATGTGTAATGGTTCTTTCCCCATTGAAGACCTAATGCGGTTTTTATTTTTTGATATTCCCAGACCAGACTCCCACACCCACACGCTTCCTGAAGAACTGTGAGGAGGTCGGTTTGTTTAATGAGCTGGCCGGTTCCTTTGATCAGGAGTTTGGTAAAACACAGGAAGACGATCATAGAACAAAGCACCCTGTGAGTAAGCAGCTTGACTCAGAGGTGTAATATCTGTTTTTTGTTAATTTAGCTGTTGACCTTCTCATTATTCCAGATGATCTGACAGAGTTCATGCGTTTCTGGTCT